AATTCAAAACCCCGCATACGAACTATAATGAGGTGGGTCGTTTGTTCAACACGCGCCGAATTTCGCATAGACGAGTCAGTCGAAATCTGCGTTTAATAGATTCACAAACAGAATTGGATCTTTACTGACGGAATAAAATCCAGGTTCTATTTACAACACTATTGGTAAGATATCGCGAAGAATGCAATTGCCATAATACACAAAGCAAGGGTATATGGGTGATCACGATCAGGGTTGCGTTCCCGCAGCTGTCTGGAGCCCTTTCGTAACCTTGGACAGGAAACGGCCTACACAAATACACTTGTACTTAGATCTTTTCGCTTATCACGACGATGGGCGTGGCAGCATCTTTTCAACACAACAGCGTAGTACGTAGACAATAAACCAAAAAAGCGGGGCTAATTCAAAAGATAATTCATTTTTTTACAGCTGCTCACTTGTAGCCCTTATAGCATGTCAAGTGAGAACCTCTGAATAAAGCTGGTTGGGCGGAAGTGTTGAGCCGTAGTTCCCCCTGCTGTACATTAGGCCACTTTGAAGGCATTATGGTAAATATTAGCAACGCAGTTTGTGAAACGACGGAAGGACGTCTTGGAGTTTTCGAGAATATTTTCATGCAAAGTTGTGGAATATTTGTCTCTTGCTGACGTGTTGACTTCAGTGAGCACCGCATAAAATATGAAAATTATCACGAGTGCATTACTGCTTTGAAACCATATAAGGAAAGCACTGACAATTGGTTGACACACGGTGTGTGTGGTTTTACCATTCGTATATAGTCACAAACTGGACCCATGGGTTCAAATTTATCACCTCAAGTAAAATACGCTACTTGATTAGAAGGCGGAAGATATGATCTCCCCACTTGCATGCAACTCTGGTAGACAGTTTTACTGTATTGTTATGATTACCGTTTCGAGAATGAATCTGCACCTCAGGTTTTGTTGCTCAGGTTGATAGCTACCACAATATTGCAGTGTGCAACCGTGGCTGTGCTCCATCACCTCTACCGCGTATTAAGAACATCATGAAAAGGATATGCCTACGTTTCAGCTGTCACGGTGGACCTTTACCTTCATTCAACCGCAATCAGTTGAGGTGGGTAACGGACGTCATGAAGTCTAATCGAAATCACGCGCAATTCAAATTTTCAATTATCAACCGAGTCTGATAATGATCTCGTAATACCTTACACTCGAAGTGAGCGTCTGTGAAACAGGAAAACTGTCGGCACCAGTAGACTGACACAAAATCTAACTTTGTTTCGAGTAATATCTGCAACAAAATTGAGCTCTTTTCGATGAGTCGTGCATTCGGTGCATGCTTTTTTTATTACACACTTTTGTGTGATGAACAGCAAACGGGGTGGAACCCCATAATCACGAGGACCTGCTGTTCAGTGATGGAAACCGGTAGCCTAAGCCCCGGGACTTGGAGTGGTAAACCACATAAGGCCCCGATAGGTTAGGTGTGGTATTGTACCGGACGACAGCAGAGCTGCCTACCATCAAAGTCGGGTGGCAGTGGCGGGGCTCGAACCTCGAACCATGGGGCATGAATCGGACATCTACCAAAGTAGAAACTACTTGATTTTAGAGGTGTGTATATGGCGATAAGGTTTACATATGAGATAGGTGCATGTAGAGTATTTGCTGAGTTTTACAGTTTGAAAGAAAAATGAGGAAGGTGAAATGAAGGATGAGAAACACTATATAATAATCAATGACCTCAGGGAAGAAGTGCACAGATTTCTGATTGACTTTAAACCGACTTTCACCCCGTAAGTCCTTTATTTGCGCCGTACATTTGATACTATTTATTTTAACTGCGGAAAGTTAGTATACACGTCTTCGTCACTAACGACCAAAATGAAGGCTTTGATGAACTCCTGAATTAGGAAGGATAAGTAGAATATCGATGAACAAGTGAACAAGCGAACGACTCATCTGAATAGAACGTAAGTGAATGTCGCTGAGAACTATATCGTACTTTAGAAGCTCCTGAACGGTTTATTTTATTGAACACATTTTTTTGAACAAGCTGTTCTGAAGCTATTCCAGTTTTTCATGTTGCAGAATAAAAAAAATAAGAAAACGTAGAAAACAAGAATTAGATGACTTGAAGAATGCTCACGAGTACGCTGTTAGTAATCAAAGATCACACATGTACGCCAGCAGCTTACATGTGCTTGTCTGAGAAGAATCCGGAAGCGAAGTTATTTCGTGAACTCGAGATGGCGCTGATGGATGGGACGTAACTGGGTTTACAGATTCGTTGATGGAAGACGCGGAACTCCGGGCGCTCAGGTGCTGCTGCACGGCCGTCTTCAGTACCTTTACCAAATCGCTGATGCGATCAGCCTGATTGCTCTGGTCCGAATCGCGATAGAACTTTTCATTAACTGAAAGTAAAACAAGAAATAAGTTAGACAGATGACGTTTCCACAAGCTAATTTGCATAGTAAGCGCGTGTAAACCAACATGCACGTGACTCCCGGAAGATACGCACCACAAAAATCGATGACACAATACATAACTGATCAATACATGTGGCAGCACTGAAGGGACTATGAAGAGATACACGAAGAAATGGAAGCCAATGACTGGAGTTTGCATTGCTGATGAAAAAAACCTCCCATAAAGTATTCTGAGTTGAAAACAATGCACTCGAAATGAGGTCAACCAGGAGTGATGGAAAAGAATGCAACGAAAGTTACTAATCATTAACCTAATATCACCGCAGATAGGCGTTGTACTTGCGAACTTGATCTATTTGGTTGAAAAGATAGGAATGTACTAGTTATCACAAGATATTGAGTCTGGCCCCAGATTAAATAAAGCCCAAGTTTGTACAACTGTACAATGAAACTAACGGATTAACGTTTGTTAGAATAGTGAATCATTAACTGTTGGTAGGTGCTAAGCTAAAGCACTAAGAACAGACGAAAACAGTGCTGAGAAGGCAAGTCTTCGTAGCTTACTGAATACGAACGGCAAACAATGCAATCAATTGATTCATATAGTTACATAGCTTGCTTAAACGGGCACGACCCAGGACTCGTATATGCGAGAGTAAATCAATCAAAAACTCTAGCGAACTTCGTATGAAAAAATTGAATGCATTAGAGATCAAAAATGGAACGAAATATACTTAATGATAAATTACAAAGAGCGATATACGCGCAAAGACGCCCATTCCGGCAAACTCGCTAACAGCACCAAAATGCTTGAAATGTAACCAGAAATGAACGATCACTTTCACCGATATTGAGCAATCTGTCGCCTTGATAATAAAACGTTGTTTTTACTTCCTATATTATTTACTGTGGAAACACGTATAGAAGATTTTCAGGAAGGGAGTTACGTTCAATGAAAATCCGTCCGAAGAAAATGCACTAACGGGAGAGATGGTTGGCAGTGGCGGGATTCGAACTTGTAACCTTCAGGTCGCTGTTGAGATTAATTTGACCACCTAACCACTGCCACCACCAGACACGAGGAATTACTATACTGCAGTTTTGTATAGTTAACGATATGCGATAAAAACTGGCACTTGGAGTAAGGAGTTGTGAGCCATGTCTCTCAGTACCTCTAACAAATAAAAGCCATCATCCTTTCGTACCCACGCTGAAGGTGGGCTGAAAAAACTGAAGTCAATGCTGATGCGAAATTATATTTATCCTTATGCCAGGTCGTGGCCTCGTCGCCGCTACGATTCTTTTAACCTCGTTCAGCACGTGCAAAGTCAGCACGGAAGCGGATGATGGGTAGCTTGTGCAGAACAAGAACGACCCATCAAAGGCGGTGTAGCGGGATTTCTTTCAGAGAGTGACTACCAGAACCCGGCACAAGATAACGAAACTCAGCGTAGTTCATCTGAGATTAGCACCAGAGACATCAGTGGTCGAACCCAGAAAATCAGTTGGTACCCTCAATGGGGGGGTCAGGCCTCGCAACCCTAAGACAAAACACCGCGAACAAGTCAGACGTCACCTCGGTGCCACAGGTGCCGCAGGTCGACAAAAACTGATCTGGCCATCAAGACGAGACTGCACTATGACGTGGTTTGATGGTTTGTGCACCACCCTGACCCAACGAGCTACACAGGATGGCTTTTTTCAGGCCAGTTCTTGCCATGCCTGAAAGGTCAATGGGTAGAGGTCAGACGAAGTCCAGTCTGCTGATCCAGGTTGGGGGTTCGACTAGAATTGGCGTTTCAGTCGGTAAAAATGGTGGAAGGGTAATAGATTCAAGTAAATGGGCCTTTACTCCGCTTCACCCGCTGCCTTGCAGTTTGGTTTTTGTCAGAACTAAAGGCCTTGGATGAGAGCCCTAATAGTTCTCCTGGTTAGTGGCTGGACAAAATAACAGTACCGGTCCATCAAACACCAATGCATACAAAATAAAAATAATTCAATACATCGGTCATCGCGCAGGACAACCAGGACCGCGCTGCCCATTGCATCGAGCGGGATGGGTAGTGATAAGTGAGCTACTGCTCAGATATCTTTGTCTTCCGCACCCAACCTTCTTAACTTGTCCTTTCTTTTAACCTGTAATAGTCCCTCAAGCAAATTGCATGTCGCCCGCTTAAGGTCGTTGCCAAATAACCCTGTAAGTCAGCATCATCCTAAAGCAAAATACGGTGAAGTGAACTTCAGTGATTGCTACCAAACTCACAATGCATACAGGGTCAGTAGTAAAATTTAGGGTGGACAGGGATTGGAAGAACTTTGAGAAAGAGGGTGAATCTCTATGGTCAACACAGAGTGCATAATCGAACTGTGTATACATACCGTTTCAAGCATTTCGGCCTGATAAGAAATGACAACAAGAACGCCATCGCCCTCGGGTCGCTACCATACCCGTCAATGTCTCCAACCAACCGGTTGTGGAGTATTTCGGAACCCAACCTGGGAGGTGAGGCACCTACTCTACCCAACGGTTCTGTGCATTTCTTCTAACAAATAAAAACCATAAGTAACAAAAATCAGCTTTTGTAAGTAATGTACAACGAAATGGTTTGCAGATTCTGAAGCCGCGTCAATCACTGAATCTGGATGCCTTCGGCGTGAACTCTGATGCAGGCAGGTCAACAGGTTTGTCTGGTGCGTATAATGAAATCCTTAAGGACCGATATTTGCTGCGTGTCGGAAACTCGAATCCAGGATGGTGGAGCGCGCCAGATTTGTTCTCAAGATACGTTCTTCACACAACAGGCGACGACGGAGCCCGAGCAGTAGGTCAACGCGGGGTAGGAATTGCACTCAGTAACAGGGATGAATTCTCTGGTATCGACTGGATCCCCGTTAATGGTCGTTTATGTACAGTTCGTCTCCGGGATTCCATCAGCGCCCGGAAGGGAAGCGACACCAGGTGTTTGTTCATCAGATTGGCATATTCCATTTCGCCTGTTCGCCGAGCTTGACAATTTGTTTGCAAACGTTTCATCACCAGCCGAGGTGACATCATCAGTGCTTGNGAACAGGCGAAATGGAATTCAGTTCACCCGAGCTACGAGAGCCGATTTTCAATATTTTGTCAACATCGGCATATGCACCAACCAATGGCAGTTCTGATACATAAAAGGATGCTTTCTACGATGAACCCATCAATCTCATTCGGATGAGTCGAAGCTCCGAAACAGCTGTACTTGCGGACGATTTTAACGAGCAGGATGGAAAACTGAGCGCATCAGAAGATTGCTTAGGTGGTAGTTGTGCTCTGCCGTGCCAACGAACAGATAACGGCGATCTACGTCTTCAGTTCTGCGCAGATTGTCA